TTAGGACTGTAATTGATCAGTCTCTTATTGGCATATGCGCATACTGTACAGATTGCCTTAATTCATAAGCATTATAAACAAAGATGGATAGTGGCTAGCGGTGAAATTCAGGATGTTTTTCGTTCTATTTGAGACTCATTAACTGGATGTGCTTGGATCTCAGATTTGATCAATGGCAGTCCTAAACAACAATGAGGGGATTCAAGTAAACAATACCAAGTGAATTTAAACTTCACTCCATTGCATGAGCAAGTGGTTATCAGGACTCAGTAGCTAAGTGGATAATGCGATGATGTTTGAAGCGAACTGTACTGGGTTCGAGTCCCAGAGTGAAAATCAACTCCGAGATGCAGGTACATCCGGCCGACTAGTCCCAATTAGGACGAAACGGGTGTCAAACTGGATCCCACTGCTAGCCACTATCCGTCTTTGCTTATAGCATTGGTATGGGTAAATAAGTGGTCAATGGAGCGTAAATTGCATTAGGATTGTAATTATACCTTTCTGATGAATGCTAACTGTTACAAAACCTATGTTCAAAGCTTCTTGATGAAAAAGGTGTTTGACTATTTGAATCTAAGATCAATTTTTATAACACTCAATTCATTTCATAAAATTGAATTCAGTTTTGTACTTTTTTTTCTCTCTACAAGTTTCCAAGCGTCTTTCTTTATGATGATGATAATCTGGAATGTGTATAACATTCACGTGGTAGTAGTTTATTTTTGGATCACTTTCAAATTGATCATTTAGTTAGTTAATATATAAACGTATGATTCTATTGTTGAGATTTAATGTATAAAACTTGTTTCAATTAAATCTTTAAGTATGTTTATTTATTTGATTATATTGATCCATTGTGACCTTGTTGTTGAATGAATATTTTTATGCAAGCAGTCCTATGTATATATATAGAGAGAGAAAGAGTTGATGTATGTAAAGATAAAGAGATACACTTTCTTCTATGTGAACTATGACATTTAAGACCACCTACTGTTATAGAGAGAGAGAGAGGGAAAAAATTTCCTCAGGTCAAGTTTACTGTATCCTCCAATCATCCACCCATACACATCCCACTTCCTTATATTCTTTGTTATGTCCACTTATTGTTATCTTTCCTTTATTTATTTTTCTTTCTGTTATGACTTTCTTGTTGTTTATCTTTGGTTTATTTTATACAGATTATATGCATATATTTCATTGTTGCACTATTTATTGACTACATTATTGAGACTAGAAGTAGTAGTAGCTTTCCTTTGTTGTCTGAACTGTTGGTTATATTTGAACCTTGTGTTTACTTATTAAATCAAGAGAATGAGAGAGAGAGCGAAAGAGAAAGGTATCCAGATGAATTAGGATAGACATGGATTTTAATCAATTTGTTAAAATCTTGTCTGGGGCAGAATAATAATAATCATTTGTGGGAATAAAATATTGTCTTGTCTATGTATACACATGAACGAACATGCAATAAAGGTAAATTAGAGGAACGTGATTGTTGTTTTTTTTCTTTCATTAAAGGATTCATGTTACAGTATCTTGTGTTCATCTTTTTTATTGTTTTATTGTAGTCTCGTATGTTATTTATGAAACTTAGAAAATAAAACCGCATGATAGCAATAATAATAAGTAATAATAATGGGTAGATTTTAAGGTGATACTTTCTATGTCTGATATCAGATGAGACAGTTAAACGCAATTTTGATTACATCACATTATTTACCTGTTCCTTATTTAGTAATAATAAAATAATCTTAACATAGAATAGCCAATATTGTAACAAATCCCTATATTATATCCAGTTTATTATTATTATCTCATTACCAGTTACAGATATGTGTATTTTTCTTTCTGCTTCATGTTATTTTTGAGAACTAGTTAAAATGACCTAATCGCTCCTTCTGGTCTGAGCCATGTTGGTAGATGTAGACTACTTGGTTAGGGTCTACGTGACTATCGTAACCAATGGTTGGAGACTGTGGGTGTTATGGCTCAGAATCGATCACAATCGCACATGTGTACACACTTTGTTTTTCCGTGAACCGTGAGATTAGAATCGCTTCATATCTTTCTTTCTAAGAAGTAATTCCTTCTTCTTGTACTATATCCTTATATGCAATCTTTCTTTTATATTTTACCACCATTGAATTAACTACTTCTATGAATCCGGTGTTCATCATGTTGTGCTAATGAGTAAGGTGTGGCAACTTGAGCCGATGTATATATGTGCCTTGTCATACGTTGTAACTGACTGATTCAATTTCTCAAAGCTAAATAGCTAGAGCGAGATTCGAACCTCTAACTGTAGTAGTTGAAGCTTAACTACTAAACCATATCACTATGTATTTAATTTCTTATTTTTCAAAAGAATTTATATAAAATTTTGGTCTAGATTGTCAAGTGAAATGTTGGATTCATTTAAAATTTAATTACTGAAATCTTACTAACATAAGTATTCTCCTCAATGTTTTATATATAAAGAAGTCCAGTTTTACTATTATATGTCTTCTATATATCGCTAGATTCGATGCGTGAATCTGCTTGTAATCATTTTCTGAAGTTACAAACTAATTTCTAGTTAACTTATCGAGTGGATAATATCAGTGTTATCATTAATTTTCATGAATTGAATGTTATATACTATTGGTTACATCGAGAAATAGGGGGGTAGTGGTTAAATGATTCGACTTTCAAGTGATATGTTGTAAGTTCGAGTCCCCACTCCACATTGGTACTGGAAACTGGTTAGTGTCGCTATACATCGCACAATAGTATATATGTATATATAATCGTTTTCCGTAGATTCATTCTTATTGCTTGCTGTTACTGTGGTTATTTCACAGGTGATAAATGGTAATGCATAGGAAGAGAGAATTGTTGATTAATAATTTGTCCTAGTTATTGGTTAAATCATTAAAAACGTAAATGAACCAAGAAATTAATTTTACTCATCTTAATTTGAATTTATCTATGGATGTTATAATTATGTATATTTCTCCCTTCTACTTCCCATTACTTTTGTTTGATCTTATCCCTATTTTACAACTCTTCATACCACCTAATCACATCCATGCATCCAATGTATATTGGCGTGCGTGCATTGACATGGGTTCGCATCCTGGATATATATATATATATATATATATATATATATATATATATATATATATATATATAACGCTTCTTTTAATTGTGTTCACTGTTTACCCATTATTATTACTAACTGTAGTAAATAGTACTAGCGTGTTTACTTCTTTGTTCCCTTCTTAGCCCATTATTATTATTATTATTATTATTATTATTATTATTATTATTATTATTATTATTATTATTATGGCCTTATATCCATCCATCTAGTGGTTGATTCATTCGTTTACAACAATCTCTATCATATTGCCCTTCAATTTTTTCTGTTTTTCTTTATTGAACATTTTCTCTATGGAGTTGAAAAGGCGTTTTTTTCGTTCGTTTTGTTCGTTTCTGCTTATACTGTTTTTATTTATTTGTTTATTTATTGCTATTTTCTTCTAAAAAATTGTTTACAAATGAAGAGACAGTAATAGAGAGAGGGAGAGAAGTATCAGATAGTAGTTAGGATGGAAGAACAGCAGAAATAAACGTGATACAGTTTTCCTTGTATGTGTATGTGTGCGTTGGTGTATGGTAGAATCACTCATTCACATGCGTTCTTTTCTCTTTAGCCTTGACTTTAAAAAGAATCTGACCTATTGTATATATTAGTTGGGAGATGTATGTCTGTGCATGTGTACTTTACGCTACTATGTGTGTATGAGTGGTAGATATTGTTTATTTCTATTTATTCTCTGATTAATTTGTTTTTTGTTGTTGTTCGTTTTCATTTTTCTAGGCTGTTTAATCTGTAAATAAATATACATTTTGTTTGTTCATTGAATTAAACGGCATTACACACTATGTGCCTTAGATATGTTTAAAAATCAGTGTTTCTTCATCTGTTTTGTGATGTTTACATTATCATTTAGATTTGTAGCTGTTGTTTATCTGCGTATATTTTTGAGATATCAGAAAGACAGGGCTATTAAGCGGTGACTATCATGGTATATCGCTGGAGTTAGAAATGTGAACTCGTTACACTCCAGTTCAATCGCATTTATACGACACTTGATAAGTTTTAAGTTAAGATGAAACATTCATTCAATGTTCTATACACGTTTCTTAGATTATTTCCCAGTCTATGGTAGAAATTAACAGTCGTTGCAAAAGAGATCTGTATATAAGTGCTGTTAATAATCAGATATGATAGAATGTGTTTCAGATTGTTTTGCATTTCTTTGATTTATTTGGATAGTTCATCCCGGTTATTATTAGTGAAAAAGTTAATTAATACCTCGTTGTTAAATTCTGGTGCTGAGGTATAGCATTTCTCTGTCTATCGTACTCTCTATTACTTGATGTTGTCAAACTTCTTAGAATGGTGTCAGTACTTAAATAAAGCACAGTTCATTACTTTAAAAAATAAAACATTTTTAATCCAGTAAAAAGAGAACAGTACAATGCATAGACCCGTACAAATGTTTTTCAACGTACTCCATAAACGGATTATTATACTCAGATGCAAATAGGTTTGTGTGCTTTACATCTTTCAAAGTAAATTTTATGTAAAACAAATTGGCTTTATAATATCAGTCAGTGGGTTCATCGGTAAATCACTTGACTTTTTGACCATTGGATTTCAGGTTTAAACCCTACTTTATACACTTCAGTTTGACATCCCGGATGTTATTATTATTAGCAGCAGTAGCAGCTTTCTCTGCTCCTTGAAGTGTGGTGTAATCTTTGGTGAACAAACATTGTACACTAAGTAATTAAATGGTATGACGATTCTTTTCACCTTGATAAATAATTAAAGTCAATATTTAATATGACTGGAATTACTCATTTTAAGTAATCTACAATTTGATAAAGTTATTTGTTTGATAGATCATCATATTTAAATGATTTCATATTATTCTTATTTTAAGGACGTAATATGTGGACCGAATTCCGGACAAATTCCAATTGAACAACAATCTGGGAATATGGAAATGATGATGTTAGTTAATTCTCGTCATTCTGGTACACCAAAAAGTAGTGGTGAACCATTTCCTAGTGGTACTGTCAGTCCAAGTGTATCCTGTTCCATCTCAAATCTTGGAAGTCGTACAGGTTTGAATTGCAATACAAATTATGGTCCAATTAGTAATTATGGGAACAGTGCTAATAAACCGATGAATCATCCATATTTCAATTCATCCGATATGATGGGACCAAATCCAGATTCTATTACTATGAGAACAACTCCTAGTAGTACTCCATGCACACAGCATTTAACTTCTGCTAGTTTAGCTAGTTTAGCACGATTATCTCAAATGTCTGGACCTGAAGGTCCGTACATTCCATCGTGTTCAGCCTCATTTTATAATCCAACCATTGGGAATAGTCTTGGATCAATGCCTGGTCATGCTGTTCACTCAAATCGTAGTGGATCTTTACCTTCCTTTCATCTAGACGGAAGTCCCGTTATACCAACGCCACCTCAAGGAGCACATCATATTATATCTCAAGGTGCACGCAATCATAACTCAAGTCCTGGAAATTGTGGCTCGAAATCACATTTATGCAATCCTAACCAATCATTATCATCGAATATGACTCCTAATAATTGTAATTTACCTCATTCTTTATCATCCCAAACTATTCCAATAAATTCTAAATTTAATTCCCAAGGCTATCCCCATACAAATCCACAGCTTCAACCAACATTACAGCAACCACCACAAAATCCTATGGGCACTGTCACTAATTGTGGCTCTTCACTTCCTTCTCCAGTTCCCAATTTACCAACACCATCTCAGCAACAGCCTCCTTCGATTCAAGTAAGTACCATACTTTTGCTCTGTCTTTTTATATTTGGTGTTTTTTGCGGAAATCGTTCAACTTGAGAATAATTTTTATTGTAAAGTGGAACTCACCAGGTTTTCGCTAAACTTGTCCCCGGTGGTCTGTCGGCTCCTGCTTCTCCGTAGGTTAGGATGATATTTATCCTTGAGAGATTTGAAAAAACTGCCTTAATAATAATGGTTTTGTTCACCACGGAGTCCAAGGGATAACTGGATGTATCCGATCATCTACAACATTTTTGTGAGTAGTTCTAGTTGTACTAGGTTCCTACCATTCAGGTTTAACTGCTAGCGCTATGTCAGTTATATCATTTATCTCACTGACATTACGTCGTAGTGCGACTTTACCCTGAAAGTTTGAATTTGTTACGCTCATTTCTTTAAAATTACTTTTCAACCGTTCTACTTGAAATAGTAAAACCTTAATTATGATGTATTTCAACGATAGAAAAGGTCGACCAACGCTTCATGGTATCATTTACATTCCTGTTAATTTCAATTGGTACTTAGCAACACATCGAAGTATTAAGGGGGATTGTTAATTCCCTTACGATTGTAACTTTCATCATCCACTGTCATATTTCAAAAGGTTATTGTGTTTGCTATAAAACTTTAAAGTATAAGTATCTACTTCTTTAAAAGTGTTAAATGTTGTATATTTGTTAAGAATTCTAAAATAGAACAAAACAGTCATCGATCATTGACACAAGTCAATAATAATAATTATTATTATCGTTACTATTATTCAAAGTTTTTTTTTATAATAAAGAAAAACAACTAATGAAACATAATTGAATAAAATGAAAGTTTAGGATGAATTTTGGTTACTTAGTTAGTTCATTAGTTAAAGGTGAATAATTTTCTATTGATTTATTCTAAATCACATAGAAACTAATATGTTGATTTTAAACAACAACTAAAAAAAATACCCCTCCCACCACCATCACCACCAAGGTCATTCTTTATTTCTTAAAAATGTTTAACGAAATAAAATGTCATTAGAAAATTAGAAAATTTTATCAATAACTATTTAGATATTCATGATGATTACAAGTCAGTCTATTAAAGTTACTATATTTAAAAAGAAAAATAATAATCCCTAAAGTGTTGAACATATATATGACATCATCAGTTTGTCTATGAAATAGGGGTGTGTTTATTTTATTTATCTATCTTGTACTCCAAAGGTTGTTGTTGTTGTTGTTGTCTTATTCCTATGTCACCATGTATACAAGGTAAATGTTTAGTATTATTTTCAAAAGTTTACACTTACTTTTATAATTGTCACTTGTTTATAATATTGAGAAATAAATTTTTCTATCTATCTCGATTACTATCTAATGTTTAAACATTTGAAATAAATATTGGATTTGAGTCTTACTGTTTCCACATTAGAATGCCCGGGTATATTCAACTGACGATTTGTAAATTGGGACAATATATACGTTCTTAATTTCAAGTTTAATCGTTATGTAATAAGTTAATTATTTGGTAGATTATTTTTTTCGTGATTAAATTGATTTAGTGGTCGTAGGATATATTGTATTTATTGCCATACCAGAATACTTTAAATGAAGATTCAATGATGAGTGAAGCGGATGTGCTACTAATTTAAGGAGCCTTAAAATGAAATAGCTGTTTAGTAGTAGTTATTCTCTGTTTTCAATAATGTTCTTCAGCTGACGACATGATTTCATAAAATTAGTCATTGTCCACATAGCATCTGGTACAAATATGTGTCGGTTAAAGTTGTTACATTTTGCATCGATAGAGTGACTGAACAAGTTAAAAAGATGACTAGCTAAAGAACTGAAATAATTTCAGTTAAAAATGTTTATGAAAGAATACTGGAACTCAAAATCTACTTAGGGAGATATTGAATGAATGGATCTACACTATTGTGACTACTAACTCTGAATCACTTCATGCAATATCTTCAAATATTGAATAAGATTATTTTATAAAACTTAAACAGTTAGCCTGTATCAAGTAACATTACTTTTTTAAACTATCAGTGATTTTATGGACTGATGTCACGTCTTACTTCGAAAGCGAATGTCCGGCGCTTTAACCGGATCCCAAACCGATGGTGCACATGGGCTAACTCCCAGTATCATGCGGGAGCAAATGGCGTATGAACCAATTGTTGGTCACCGGCTACCATGGGAAGGCATCTCCTCACGATGCTTCACTGCCTTGTGGGTCAGACCTTTAGCTCAAAAGCTCTGGGTGTGATGCTCTAAGGAAACCACCTGTTTCGGTTTGGGCACCCGGGCAGTATCACAGCCCACACACACACACACACACACAAATATGGTGTGGCGCATATATATTTGGTGCCCTCTTGTACCAATATTTATGTGTTGGAATGAATAAATAAATAAATCACTTCGAAAGCCTGTACCTTTCCAACTTTCTTCTACTTCACCCCCAACTTAGGACATGACATCGTATTAACTGATAATCGGACGATTAAAATCAATTTTGTAGTAACATTAACTACATATATTGTTATTATTATTTTTTCATATTTCTTTAAACAACAAAGAACCTAGTTTATATGTTTATATATTCCAAAGGAATTTGTCATTAACATTAAGCATTGTTTAGATAGATGGTTTTGTGTGTGTGTGTGTGTGTTGATTTTCTCTCTATCCAAGTTGTTTAAATAAAATGACCAAATAATTATGTGAATAGTATTAATTTAATTAAATGATTTTTGAATGATAAGAAAAATATTCCAATTGAATTTTTAATTAAAAAACAACAACAAACAAAGTTTTTGTTACTACTTAACATTGATTGTATTCATTTATATTTCTAGGTAAATAATACATTTTTTAATGCACAATTAAATGTACAACAAATGAATTATCAACATGTTAGTGCACCTGGATCAACTGGTCAAATGCAAATACATTTTGCACAACAACAACAACCATCAACAACACAACATCCAATTCCACCACCATCATCTCATGAACATTTACGTTCAGTTCGACAATCAGATAACAATAATAATAGTACAGTTCGTATGACAAACTCATCAAATGAATATAATTCAAACAATCATCCATTGTTATACAATACTGATGGAATTAATCATCATTCTCATCATCAACGTATTGTTGATTGTCCATCAAAATCTGAAATTCCTGCAGTTATTCCGTCTAGTTCAGTAATTACTTCATCTGTTGTTTGTACACCTTTAGGATCTTCAGTTGTTGGCGGAGGTAATGCTGGTTATGGTAATGCAAGTATTCAAATTACTCCTAGAACACCACATACAATTCAATATCTTCCAACTGTTGCTCCTCAAGTTTCTAATAATCAAGGACCTTCAGGTATATCACCTGGGCCAAACCAAATGCAAAGATCTAATTCTGTACGTAGTTATCAATATATGCCATCTGATATAGATAGCAATAATAATAACACCTCACATGTTACAGATAACGCTATTCGTCATCCTACCTTTCAGTCAAATCATCAATCCTATGCTACTAATCAAAATATTCCTGGACAATTTTATAATTCAAATCAACACCATTATTCATCATCCTCACAATCGGTTATTCCACAAACTTATCCATCTAGTCTTCAAGGTCAAAGTAAGCATTCTCAAATTACTGGTCAATTTACTGCTGGGGGAAGGCATAATGCTAATAACAGTAATAATAATAATTCAACATTTGGATGGAGTGATACAAGTTTCGAGTCAAATCCATTAGGTCCAAATTCATTGACAGCATCGTCAACTAACGAAACCAATTTAAATAGTTTTAAATCTTCAAATTGTAATCATCAAAGTGAGTTTATATGTTTTTCATGTTACTATGAGTTCCTTTGAAAATATAATTTTTATGTTAAATCCATTTTCATAATCAATTCTATCTAATTTAATTGATTTTTATCGCCCTATGAAATTTGTTTCCTTTGCATCATAATAATAAACAGGTCAATTATGAAGGAGGCCTAAATGCCCTGGTACGGCCGAGATTGGGAAGAGTCAGCTCTCCCACTCGAAATGCTCACATGGCCACGCGTTTATAACCTCTGTCAGGGAAGTCCTACTCACTGCCTTCTTGCGGCATTACTGTTGTTTACGAAGTTGAGAGGACGAAAAGCGAATGTCCGACGCTTTAACCGGGCTAGTGGATGCGGAGAATCCACCTAGGAGAGTTGGGAAACCCTGATTCGAAACTAATGGTGCACATGGTCTCCAGTATCCTGAAGGAACAAATGGCGTATGAACCAATCGTAGGTCACCGGCTACCATGGGACTGCATCTCCTTACGATGCTCCACTACTTTATGAATCAGACCTTCAAGTCGAAGGCTCCGGGTTCGGCCCCCTAAGAAAGTCACCTGCTTTGGTTCGGGCACCCAGTCAATATCACAGCCCACATACAAATCAAGTGAGATTTGTTTGGCGCATATGTATTTGGTGCCTCGTTGTACCAATATCTATGTGTTCAAATAAAGTAAATGAAGGACGAAAAGTGGACATCTCAATAATTAACTGAACTCCAAGTATTATAAAATTTGTTACATAGAAAAAGATAACTTCCCTTATTCAACTCCATCTCCTCACAGATACACAATGAATATAAGTTATTATAGACTATTTGTACATCCAGTTAGCTTACCTTACTTACACAAAATACAGTCAAGAAAAATTGTGCAAACGGAAAAGTGAATAAGATAGTGATACTAGGACGAAACGGTCGTCCAGTGCTTTCAGGTTTTCCATGGTGGTCTAGCTTCAATTGACTCATGATTTCAACTATTGAAATATTAATTGTAGTAGAAAACATAACATGAAGTATATAATGGGAAATTAATCGTGAAAATTGACTACTTAATGAATAAAGTACCTAATTTCGATTTAGTAGATAGATCACCGTTTTTTTTAAAAATATTTATCTCAAAACATTTGTGATTTAAAAAGTCGATTAGTATTACTAATTACCATTCAGCCGATATGGTTTAAAGTCGATTACATAAGATTATGTTCATTTTAAATTAGTTACAATCAGTTGAAAAGTACGGAATAATATTAATAAAGCTGGATATCTTGAAAATAGGACTAAGAATAAAGATGACTTTGTTGTTCAAATCGATTTCGGATGGTGTTGTCATGTAAGATCAAGATCATCAAGTAGAAAATTCTGATGATCTGGAATTTTGGAATTTATTACACGATTTAAACCAACTGTATATTTTAAGTTTTACATAAAAAAACTGACTATAGTTAGCCAACGATTGTTAATCAGGAGGAACTGAACATCTGTTGCGTGTTAGTGTAGAACTCAGTAGTATGGGTCTATAGCCTCACCAAGGATTGGACTCAGAAAATACAGGCCTGATGGTTATTGAATTGACATCTAATTCTTTTTTTTTTACATCTGTAGCTTCATTCCAATTCACGAGGTTGTTCACATACCATACATTGACAATAGTGGTATTTTTCTGATATTATTATTATTATTAATGGCTTTATTCAATATTATATTTTTTGTACAATACAGAATTCTTAGCACAAAGTATTTCAATAAATTTCCTTTTCTTATCTCTTGATCGATCCTGAAGATATATTTTGAGCGATTGCCAGTTAGATGTTAGCAGTTCAGGAATCGACATCTTAATAATGTTCATTCTTTGCAATACATATTGCCTGTCAGCCATCATGATGTCTCTGATTGGGTTCTTTTTTTAAAAACTTATACAGCAAAATGTCGTAAACTTTCCATAAACGCACCTGAATAGGTTGTGCGACTGATAGACATAATGATGTGTTAAAACAAACAAGAAAACAGATAACTTGTTGAAATATTCAGATGGAAGGGACAGGTAGTCCAGATATTCAAGTAGACCGCCAAAGTTTTTTTAACGTCGTATCTAAACTCCCCTGGTTACGGCTTTTAAGCATATAATTATCTCTATTGTATGATGAAGGTCATGGGTTCCATCGCTCATGGAGCTGTGGATGTGAACTTACGGTGAGTTCCTTAGACAGGGTGAAACAGCTATTCATTGCTTCCTAGTTTTCATTTTTTTATCTTACCAAAGTCAGTTCATGATGTGAAGCTTCGAATTCAACAGTCATCATCTTGTTTAAAAAAAATGATATCTCTATTATGAATTGGTTGTTCCGAACGTTTTTGTTCCAACTCAATAGCATGCTAGTCAGCTTAGTGCATTGTGACTAGGGGGGGGGGTACTGGTTTGTCCCATGTATCGTTATCCATAGAGATATACAGTCCTTCATCAATCAATTTTTGTCTTACAAAATGTTATGTTTGATATTAATGTTTTTAAAATACCGTATATTTTTTTAAACCTTAGGTCAACCCACTGATAATCGTTTGGGTAGAAATATTAATCACCCAGTATTACGTGATGCTCAAATGAATTACTCAGCTTGTAGCAATAATAATAGTAATAATAACAGTGATACATTATCAACATCTATGTCTACTAAGATGGATCCATCCACTGATATCATATCTCATCAAATGTTCGCAAATTCATCCGATATGCCATCAGTACAACAACGTGTTCATGTGAATCAGCACTCACAACAATATCTCCGTCAATCAACTGTCAACGATGGTGCTAAACCTCAATCCTACTCCTCATCATCTACACAACAGCCACAACATCATCAAACAAGTCAACTTCATCAACAGTATTATCATCATCATCAACAACAAAATCATCAAATGATGATGTCTTCATCGTCCATGTGTGATTATTCCGGTAGTAATAATAGTGATTGGAGTTCTACGAATCAAGTACAGTTTTTAATGTCGAATTCTACGGTGAATTCTACAATGTATAGTAGTCATAGTAATAATATTGTAGATAATATATCTGTTAGTGGTGCTGTTGGTAGTATGATGGAAAATTCTACAAATATAGGACATACTACTAATGCTAATAGTAATAGTAGTAACGCAACACCTACCACTAATAATAGTAATCATAAACGTCCATCAATAGTAAATCCTATGAATGGAGAGATGAAACATAATATTTCATTGAATCCCCATTCACAACATCATGCCTTGCCGCCTCATCCACAGCAATCTCAACAAATGATGATGGTCAACAACAATAATAATAACGGTAGTAATAATAATAGATCAAACTGGTATCCTCACCAATCGATTGGGAATCAAATGACGTTCACTTCAATGTCCTCATCATCAGCACCAACAAATGCAAGTCGAGAAATGTATTCCAGTCAAATGCATAATACTAATAATGGTAATAATGCTAACTTTTCATTAAATACATTACCACCGGTTACTGGTGGTGGTCATCCATCGGATACATCATTAGGAACAATTGGTATGGTGGATAATACAAATAATGTTAATAATAATAATAATAATGGAAATAGAAGTATACTTAGACAATCACAGGATCCTTATGATAATTCATTACCTATATCTTCTATATCATCATCAACATCTTCAGCACAGCCTTATTCATCATCAGTTGTTTGAAGAGAAAGGAAAAAACAAACAATTATTATTGATCACTTAATTTGAAGAATCATACATTAAAATGAAAACTTCTACTAGAATAACAACAACAATCATAATGAATTTTGGATCTCATTCTTTTCTTTAATCAAAAATACATCTATCTATATATATATATGCATATTGTCTCATAATGAATAATAATGCTATCAACAAACTGTATTTGATTTGTTTCTTTTCTTTTTCTAAAACAAATAAAATCAACTTATAATTGGGAAGTAGTTGATTGATGTATTCTCCATTCTTCTAGTTTTGTTACTCTCTCGCTCTCTCCATATGTGTGTTCTATCATGGTCATGATCTCTATCTCTCTCTTGATTGTTCATTTCCAGTTTCTTCTTCTTTGTATATAGAAATACATTTTTAACTGATATTGATCATGAATAAGATAAATTGTAAGACAAAACTCATTTGTATTTAATACATACAATATATTTTAATTAATAATAATTATTATTATTCATATAATTCTTTATTATGATAAATGATAAGTTTTCATTCCTTAGTCCTCTATTCGTTTTTATACTTTAGCATGAATTCTATTTTCATTCATGTATACCTTCATTTTTATTTCTTGACTTTAAATTTTAATCTTATTTCTATTTCATTATTATTGTCATCATTATTATTGTTTTCTACTTTGTTTCCTATACAAAATAATCGTTGTGCTTTTTTTTAATGGAACGGTTGGGGGTGTGTGTGTATAGGATGAGGCGATTTCCGATATTGATTTCTTTTGTTTACTTTACTTCAATATTGTTGTCTACGATCATTACTTTCCTTATTGATATTGGTTAATGTTTATATTAATGAGGAGAATGTAAAATTCTTGTAGTGTTTATTAATTATACATGTATATCATCCCTCGCTCAGTTGATTACCAACTACCACACTGTTACTCTTCTCTCTCTCTCTTCATTTTCATAACTGCCCTAGTTACAAAATAAACTGATCTAATTAAAAGAAGTATTGTTTCTTTTCTAGTTCCAGTATTCATGTACTTGTACATGCATGTATGTGTTTGTTTGTTTGTTGACCAAAATGTTATTTGCCTTCTGAATTTGATGATTTCTATTCCTTTAATTTTTGTCTTATTACCTTTATAAGAATACTAAGGTAGAATGAAATCACGTATTCCTTACATGTGTGTACATGTTAAAACTAGGATTATTATTATTATTGGTAGTGTTGTCATTGTTTTATGCCCAGTTACTGTATAATACTTATGATACACGTGTGTGCGTGTGTCTCTATCTCTTTCCCTCTATCCTTTTCTTTAATACCCAAATATATATGGACTTATGATTCATTTATTCTTTCTCCTATTCTCCTCTCACTCTTTTTTTCTCTTTCTTGTATTATATTTTTAATCTATATCTACTCTTGATTATGCAGAAATGAGAACGTATCGAATTGATCATTAATTGTTTATTCATTTCATTTCTTTCGAATCGATTTATAGAGATAAATCAATAATTGAATGAATGAATTGATTGATTGATTGATTATTGTTAATTTCATTTGTTTACATAATCATTATTTTATCATGTTTAGAGTTTGTTGTTCGGTTTACTATCCATGGATACTTTTAATTTGAAGACATGCAAATATATATATATATATATACATACATATTGGTTCATTTATACATATGATACTTTATGAATTGTTTTATAAACATTCAGAACCTTTTATTTGCCATTGTAATGATATTCTTCATTATTATTATTATTATTCGTATAATTTCGGCGTAATTACATTCAAACGTTTACTTCTTGATATTAATTTCCCTTTTCTGAATCATTAAAAGTTGGCTAATTCTCCTTTTTGTTCTCTTAACATAAATGAACTCATTGTATGTATGTATAAAATATGATTGGAAATGTATGTTTAAACACAAAAATGCCAGTAATAAACAGGTACTTCGTATTTCTCTTACTCATTACAATGATTCTTATTCTTTCATCTAACATATATAATAAGTAATATTGATGTTGTACACAAGCAAATGTGTTTGTGTACACTTGAATGAATGATGCAGCTGATCATCATCATCATCACTTTTTTTTTCTCATTCTCTGATTCGTAAATAGTTCAGTGTTACACACATATTCACGGATTAACATAATCTTTCTTCAATTATAAAGAAGTTTAAACGGTAGTTCTTATACGCGCACACAATCTCTTATATCTATTCTGTTGTTTTCATTTCCTCCACTTTTCTTGCATTCTATCACCTTTACATATTTATATACAAATACAATCCATATTCATATGCACATGCACACACACACACCACACTTTTACTTCATTATCAATCTTGTTTTCATAAAATTTTGACAAGAGAGACAATTTTTTTGTTATCACATTCTAATACCTGTATTATATAAGAAAAACGATTATAACATGATTTTGTTGTTTAATTTTTAACTTGCCACTGAATATAAATGACGGGTGTTTTTTTCTCTCTCTCTAGTTTTGTTTGTTTACCTCTTGTTTATTTAATGGGGTTTTCTTTACACATAACAGGATAATGATACAGTAGTACGACCGAGGGTGGAGAGAGTTAGCTCACCTTCTCGAAATGCTCTCATATGGTCACAAGTAATACAGCCACTGTCAGAGAAGTCTTATCTGCTGTCTTCTTGTGCCACGAGTGTTGTTTACGAAATTAAAAAGAAGGAAAGTGAATGTCCGGCTGTTTGATCCCGTTGGTGGATACGGAGGATCCACCTAGGAGAGTTAGAAAACTCTGATTCCAAATCAATCATTCATATGAGCTACAATATTCTGATGGGACAAATGGCGTATGAACCTGTTGTTAGTCACTAGCTACCATGGCACTGCATGTTGTGATGTCGCTCCACTGTCTTGTGGATTAGACCTTCAGGTTGAAGACTCCGAGTGTGGTCCCCTAAGAAAACCACCTTCTTCGGTTTAGGCACCCAGGTAGTATCCCATCCTACGCACAAATCCAGTGACTTGTGTGGCGCATATGTATTTAGTGAGCGCTTTGTACCAATATTTATGTGTTTAAATAAGTAGAGAGGAGAGAAGTCGAAAACTCGTGGTCTTAGTAATCAAGTGTCTAGCCACTTGTCACTAGTTACTCATTCACTCCAAAGTTGAGGCCAGGTCTGTTGCATTGTGACACTATTTGAAGCATAACATGTTTATTAGCATAGATGGTACGAAGCTAGTTGACATCATGTATTAGCTTTAGCTGGGTACTGATTCAGCGACCTACGATCAACCACATAGTTCTTGCATTCGATTCCTGATAAAGTTGTGGATATGTACTATCGAGAAGTCCCATAGCAGGAAAAAGTACTTTTGTAATGTCCTTCACCTACTAATGGTTGTCTGACTAGGTTTTTTCCATGATATAAACTATCTTTATATATCGATGTTTTACAGTGCATTCAGCTGACTAATCCTGAGTATGAGGGAACGCGTTCTAGACATTACCCAGAAACATGATTAAATTTGTCAAAACTGATAGTGAATATTTATCATTCTTATGGAAAAGCAGTATAAATGGAGCAGGAGTAAAAAGTAATGATTTAACTTTTCTGACTTCCATAATTTAACAGTAGTCTACAAATTACTTTAACCAGATATGTTCAATCGCACAAAAGATTACAACTAATTCATAATTGTCAAAGTGTAGTGAACAAGAAAACAAGTGGGGACAATCGAATGTATTTGGACATGAAATTACAGAACATCCTCAGATTTCATTGCATTTTCACATCAACTGCTTTCTGTTCCCGTTTTTTCCTTCTCGATCTTCCACTGAAATATATTCTATTCCTGACTATCTTCATATACTACTTATGTGGAAATAAGTAGCTCACACCACAAAAGTACCAAACTATGATGCTGTTAATCGTAATTCAACGAGATTAATTCATAGACAGTTCTGATCTAAATGGAGTGTCACTATTTATGCCCACGTGAATACGTAGAAGTTGGTCGGTTTCTTTTAGTAAATCTCGAATAACTTAGCCTGCGATTTCATTTGTGAATTCTTATCTGATAACACATCATAGTTTGGAAGTGAAAGATCAGTCCAGTCATCGAATTATTTAGCCTATACCCCAGTTCTGTGATTGAGATACTAACAATTATTTCGTACAATTAAATGTTTGTATATTGGTTTCTAAAATCATTCAAACTAATCTCTCGATCGGGTCATTTTTGAGCAATCATGGCTCTCAATGCACTGATAACTTTTCTTAACATACAACTGACTAACTTTATCTATTCTAAGTATTCTGACTTACATAACTACATAGGTAGCACAGCATATTTCGGTCTATAGATTAATGGTAGCGAGGATTTCCGAATTAGGATGAATATAAGAAACACTGTGATGCGTAGGTGAGAAGATAATGATTGGTTATTTGCTTATTTAGGCTTGTAGATAGTCTGACAGGCGTTAGATGAGTTATATATTCTCATGTGTTTATTATTATTGTTATTGTTGTCGGTTTTTGATGGAATATATTTACGTTCTAATCAGGCTAATCACCTGTTCTTGATCCCAGTTGTGTTGAAGTCCTATAGAATAGACACTGAGAGGGGATCTAGTGTAGATATTCGTGAAAGGTAAATTAACGTCCCATTCATGTAAACGTGGAAATGCGAGCGTTAGAACACATTGAATGACATCCTCTTCACGGAGTTTCATGATCATACTCGTAAGGTTTGTCAGTATTTCCTACGACTAAAAAGCTGATGTATCAGTGACATGCTATATATACATTAGTTACTAGGCATTCAGTACTGTAAATCATGGGTTTAGTCAGTTAATCTGAACAGCGCCTCATGAAACATGCTAAAGAAGTGATTACTGGTTTCGCTTTGTTGTTATGCATATTATATTCGTAAAATAATTAAACGATAATTTTAAATGATGAAATTGTAAATGAACAGTTATTTTTAGGCATGCAAAGCAGTTCAGTCAGTCAGCAACAACGTAGAACTCCTTACGTAAACACATCAGTTTGAGTTATCATACCACATTAGCACAGAAATACAATTGTCAATTCAAATCCCATAATGGTGGAGGTAGTAGAAGTATAAGCAGTAATTGGAAAGCTTATGGTTTGAAGATGTTATTCAAAGAGTATAATCCAGTGAAATAAATTTGGAAAGGCACATTAAGGATTTGGAAGATTAGGATTTGAGAGAACACATATAGTGGGTGGACCTGCGCCATTACAAATGATTTTGAGCCATCTCATTCGAGGTCTCTAACCAAAGTGGTTTTCGATATAAGTTTAAGTTAATGTTAAGCCCGAAATCCTCTATAGTTGTGAAACTACTGTATATGGTTCGAAATAATTATGTGTCACATTTGTAAGAAGAGAAAGAACGATTAATAGATAATTCATTTTTCATAGTGATTCATATTTTAAAACGAAGACGGTGAGATTTATGGACGAACCAATTACCTATAAGATAACAGGTCTTGGATTTTGGCGCAAAATTCAGTTTTGGCATTACAGCTGATGTTAGTTCGTGGTGAAAACTCTAAATCTAATTTCTATCCTTAATCGTTAACTGTATATCATAATTCTAATTCCTCATGCTGGTTTACAACCCTCATTTGGTCTTAGTTATTAGGTGGACACTCTCAAAGTCACGTTAGCGTCACTCAAAGGTTGTCTCACCACGAAGACTAGTCAACATAATATATAGGACAATTTTATTCGCCTTGAAGTACACTGTAATGAAGATAGAAGAACTCAGGGTCATTATGAGAAATCCGAAGATAAAACTTGTTACATGAGATAAAAATAGATTGTTATACTCATTGTAATGAATTTAAATAAATAGACTGGCAATAACGATTGCATTCATTTACTCTTACAGTATTGTGATAAGCTTGATGTTAGCCAAAAACAAATAGGATAAAGAAACTTCTTTTGTTATATCGTAGTGAAGAATAAATTACAGATAACTTCCGAGGATTATTAATGGAGTAATATTCTATAAATATTCTTATCGTATAACCATTCAGTAACTAGATTATGTATATCTATATTCCTCTTATTATAAGCTTCATTTTGACCTATAGATTATTATTATACGATTTACTGTTCTTCAGTATTTGCCGTCTACCACGTTCACAGTAACTTTTCGGTTTGATCTTGGATAAATGTTATTTCCTATTTTATGATGTGATGTGATGCGTTTTGACTTGTATATAAGCCAGGTATGTTTGAAATAAATGATTCGTATAGTGAAAGCTATTTATTTATTTGTTTATTTATTCGGACACACAAATATTGGTACAAAGCGCGCACTGAATGCATATGCGACACATAAGTCACTGGATTTGTGTGTGACAGGGGATACTACCTGGTTGCCCAAACCGAAGAAGATGGTTTTCTTAGGGGACCACACTCGGAGTCTTCAACCTAAAGGTCTAATCCAAAAGAGAGTGGCACAACATCACAAGATGCAGTGTCATGGTAGACGGTGACCAATGATAGTTTCATAAGCCATTTGTTCCTCCAGGATCCTGGAGACCATACGCATCATTGGCTTGGAATCAGGGTTTTCCAACTCTCCTAGGTGGATCCTTTTTATCCATCAACACGGTTAAAGCGCCGGACATTCGCTTTTCGTCTTCTCAGTTTCGTAAACAACATCCATAACGCGAGAAGGTAGTGATTAGGACTTCTCTGACAAGGGTTGTAAACGCATGGCCATGTGAGAGCATTTTTAGAGGGAAAGAGGACACTCTCTACCATCGACTGTACCACAGCATTTGGGAGTCATGTAAGATTACACACAAAGATCATCATTAGGCCCTTCTTCAGTCACTTAACAAAAATAATATGTTATTATTTGAGGAGAAACTAATTTAAAGGTAAGATAAAAAAGAATTTGGAGAACATGGAGAGTTAACTCTTCCCAATCTCTGCCGAACCAGGGCATTTGGGGGCAGTGGAAGCTGGTATTCATGTTCTGAACTCAACTGGCAAAGCTAGAAGTAAAAGGACTAATAAGGACGTCAGGCTGTTCATACCGGTTGAACATCATTAGTTTGGCACAGGTATGGGAATCCATTTAAGCTAATGTGATATTTAGTATTTATAAGGTTATGTAAAGAGTTCTGAATGGTGAGAATAAGCCAAGTGATGAGGCCTTCAATTATGTAAGTGTCTAGAATATGTGTTGGTTATAAGAATGCCAGAGCTGATAAAATATGTAACAAATTCAAGATTTTTAAACTTTGTTTAATGGAAGTAGCGAATTGGTTATCCCTTTAGATTTAGGTCTGTGTAGTTAAAAAGCGTTTTGGTTACGGAGAGGTATGGGTTTTACTTTTCACGTCCCGGACCCGAAAAGTAATAACATTAGTTAATAGTGGAAGGGATGGTCGAGAAGCAGGGTCTATAATGACCTCTGTCCACTAGTAAGAAACTGTGACAAACGTAGAGCCATCTTTCGTAAAACTTTACTGAATGTTCTATCACAATCGACTAAGGTGCAGAATCCCTCACTTTATCAATTCCAACTACAAAAAGGAGTACGATATTTCACACGAAACCCATCTTTTGTTCCGAATGAATGTTCACTAAAGTGTAGTTTTGTAGGGACAGTGAAATGTCACTGAGTCCTAGCCAAATCACTGAATATCGAAAATATCATCGTTCCCTGTCGAAGTCAAGGACAACCAACGCACATAAGTTAATCGCACGCCATGCACTGACGCATGCGGTGGTGGTTATATTTTCGCTTGTACGTACTTTGTAATAACGTCCCTTGTGTTGTACGGTCTTCAAAGCATCCATAGTACTTTGATACGACTAAGGGGTAATCCATGTAAGGTGCTGACCGCAAGCTGTGACTGCAACGTTGGCTGTCGGTCACACCATCCCCGTCTAGATCGAGTAGGCCCCCAATCATTCGACATCGATTATCTACGTTAGTGATCTACAGTTTTATACTGCGTCTGATTTCTGGTCTGTTAATATCAAGGGGATTGTGGAAAAAATGATGAACATAGACTTTCTTTCCTGTAATCTTCCTTTAGTGAACAAGTTACAAGTTTGATGTTTCTAGGAGAGGTAATCAAGGATAGTACTTTAATTCAAGTCAAGTACCTTTAAAATTCCTCTTCTTTGAGCTCGTTTGAAAAAGGCTATATCTTTTTTAAGGTATAGGGAAATTATCCCAGAATATTTTTCGATGAAGTTGTAGAAGTAGGTAAAACTCTAAAATAAATAGATTTGCATGTCTTAGACACTAATCTTAGCATTATTTGTTCTTATGGATTCATTCCTGGTTGAAGACTTATGGTCAGGCGTTTGCACAAGATCACGTTTGAGTATGCCGTGCTGCGCATCTCTTACGGCAATTTGTCAGTCACCTTATATTCCATACACTGTGGCACATCAATCTACAATTCACTTATATATTACCACATCGTTATTCTAGACTTCTGATTTGACTGACTTTGGGGTCATCATATACAGCGGATTTCGGATAGCAGAGTTGTCAAACTCTGTTACCGTGACATCACCACTAATGAGCCTCGATGTGATCTGATGCACCAAACTACATACATTTTGTTCCTTGTGACATTTTACGCACATTATTACACATCGTGTATTTTTTTCTCATTTTTAAATATTTATTGTTATTATTATTATGCCAGAATACATACCTAATCTTATAGTGGTAAAGACTATCTCCTATTTTATAAATTATACTGCTCTTGCCTAATAATATCAAAAGCTGGTTCTCTTATGTAAAAGTCGAATTCCTCGAGGACAAATGACGGATTGACATGGATAGTTCTTGACACTAGTAAGGATGTTACTGAGTTAACTGAACAGATACTGTACACCTTGTTAGTGTGATGCTTTGGGACGCTACGAAATCTGGAAAGGGCTGTTGTTAAACGCAAAAACTTAACCAATCGACAAAGGTCACGTGAGATCTTCCACAATATAAAATTAGGACACAGATTTACAACAGAAGTGTCATTGCAAATGCGGAGTCACTGGCTAAAGGATTTCCGACAAAAACCAATGTATGATCCTCTTTGGAATCTTGTGTCAATGGAAATGAAAATCACTCCACATACACACCTTTGTAAAGTAACCTCTTGAATCACCCTTATGTGCGAAGTTGATCTTCATGATCGTTACCACTAGAACTACGTTTTGGTTATGGAAGCTGCTATATTGATTGGTTTTTCCTTTTGACTATGTTTCTTGAACTGACTGGAACTGTTCACTTTCTGATAGTGAACAAAAGCACAGAACTCAAAACACCTATTGTTTCAGTGAAGTCAAATATTATTGCCTTTGAGCAAACAGTAAATGATCTATCCAGAAAGGATAGAATAATATTCCTACATTAAAAGAAGGCTTGTATTGTAATATTATGTTATATTGAGTCCCTTATCAGTTTCTCTATTTGATTATTTGGGCTTGTTTAACAATTATTTGTTAAATGACTGGATGATAGTTTTTGGCAAGAACGCGAGTTTCTGAAATAATCGCCACATTCATTACCTATTGAAAAAACCTAAAATTAACAATCATCTAAGGCAAACCTTCCTAATTAAACTTGCAAGGCAAGTTAGAACTATTCTTGTTTTGCTTTGAAATAACTCTAGTGACGAAGGTTGTTGACTTTTCAGATTTATTTTATGCAAGATCCATTTTTGTATGCTCATTTGTAAATATGGGGAAATCTCTCCATGTCTGTTTTTCATTACTAGTCTTTTGCATTTCTCTAGTATTTACTGTTTTACTTGTTGTTGTTTGTACTTTGTATATTGATTCCTATTATTGAGATTGACCACTATTATTGATATTCTATCATCCACAATTTCTGAATCGTCCGTCTATCAACCAAATGACGTGTTTTCGTTCCGTCCAACTAGTATTTGATAGTAGGTGTCTTCAAAACAAATCCATGATGTCGCTGACAAGTGGACTGAGTCATGTTGCTAGGTGTCGACTACCTGGTTAAGGACTGCGAGATAATGGCAATCAATGGTTAGGGACCCTGAATGACGTGGCCTAAAATCATTTGTAATGGCGCAGGTGCATTCACTCTTTGTGTTCTCCGGAATTCTAATTTTCTGAATTCTTCATGTCCCTTTCTTTTTTCCAGTTCCAAATTTATTTCACTGGATTATACTCCTTAAATAATATTTTCAAACCTTAAACTTTCCAACTACTACTTATACTTTTACTACCTCCACCATTATGGGATTTGAATCAACAATCATATTTCTGTGCTAATGTGGTATGACAACTCGAACTGATGTGTGTACGTACGAAGTTCAACTTTGTTACTGACTGACTGAATCTTTTAAATTTTTTTAATCTTTTGTCCTTATAGGTCTCTCGATATTGGACTGTCGTACTTTAGTTGATAATTTGTGAATTGATTGGCTTTGTTTCGTGAACTTGATTTCGAATTACGTTCACTATTTGTTTTTATTGGCGTTTGCGATTTTTAATTGGTAGTTAATTGTAATCATCCTGGATTCAATTGTTAAACAGATTCCTTTGTTTCCATGTCAAGTTAACTCTGAGGGATAAAAGATAGATTTTCATTAGCATTCTTTCGGGTGACAGGCCAAATATCTACCAAACGTATTCTGGAAGCATCGATAACAAGAATCCATCTCAATACAGCAAAAACGTGACTTGGTTAAGTTACAGGGGGGAGGGATAGGGTGGAGTGGTTGTGTCATAGTAGGTCGTGAATTCGTTGTTTCAGATTTAGTCCAGTGAGTAGTCTCCAGTCATGAAGAGTTAGCTAGAAATGTGGAGTTATGGACCGTAAAAGGTCATAATAAAAGTTATGCCTCCTAGATAACGTAGATGATAGATGATTTTGTAGACCATTAGCACTTCTGAAGCTCTTTTGAAAAAAGCTTCATTAGACTCTCTCAAACTGGATTCATGATAAGACGCTCGTACTACTCATCCTACTTAGAATTTTCTGATCAAATCCGCAGAAAATAAATGTTAGTAAAACGATGTTCATCCTATATTTCGACTTGTTAAGGCATTTGTACCTCACATTTCCTTTGAAAATCTTCTTGATTTTCCATACTAGATCCCTCGTCCCGGTTTAAATCTCTCATAACTCGACTTCGCCAAGTTGTTAACTTCGGATCTTACTACTGCAAACCTATGGATATAACCACTGGGGTTATACGAGGAAATGTGTCTGTTTCAGCAATCTTAATTTTTTTCTTAGTGAGTTTTTGATCGTAGAATTTGGGTCAAGGTTATCTGTGCTATTAGAACAATGGACCTGATCCTGTATCGCGGATTCGTCATGATATGACTATCCTATACATAAGATCCTGAGTCGAAGTCACATAATTGTCTACACTGACTTGTCCTACAGTTACGGTCAGTATTGAGTTTTCTCAAGACCTATTAAGTTCGGATTTAGGCAGGGAATAAAATGTTATATCTGATTTAAAAACGTAGATGTTTCCTGGAGCGATCACTCCAGCAAGGAAGAGTCACGGCGTTACTTTAAGTGTTCCTACCCTCATATTTTCTGACCTTATCCGAGTGTTCCATGTTTGACCGTATTTTTTTTAGTTATTGTTTCAAGGATCGTCTGGTGAGGAACCAAGGCTATAACAAGGTCACAAAAGTGTGATGTGCACGACATGAAATATCCCTTGCATTTCTTTCGACTAAGCGGGAAAAATGCGAGGAAAAAGAAGGGAATTTTGAATATAGGGACAAACCGAATCTTTGCGATGTAATAATTTTCCACCGAATAACCATCTTTTGGAACCCACTACTGGATGAGGTAGTACCCACACTCACTTGATTCATTCAAAGTAGATTCAAACACAAACTGAAGTATAATGTATATTTATTTACAAAAGCCTTCGAACTTCTGTTTTAAAGCATGCATCTGGATATGAGATATAGTGAAGGTCCAAAACTTTGCTTTTAGTACATCGATTGCTTGTCTGAAGGTCAAATACACGTTAACACCGCGATGAACTGGGTCTTGGTTGGTTTCTTGAGCGTGTTTGTGAAGCTTGGTATGCACTCTCATAATTGTACAACAAATAACGCATTCTTCAAGCCCTTTCATGTGACGAGTTCGACGTCAGGCCGGTTACTTACTCTTCAAGCGAAGCAGTTCTCTCCACTGAAACCGTAATTTTAATTGAAGGTGAAGCTAAATGTAAAGAAAAAGGAGTAAGACTTCATATTATCTGATGATTGTTTACAGTCATCAAATTTGTACGCTGAGTTAAATGGAGTACTTCAACCAGTTGCCCGTCATATTGAAACTGACAACTTTCAAGTAAATTCTTAACATTTTGTTTATAATATTACCTTGATTACGATAGGTATCGTTCGTCTTCAATCACAAAGATGTGCCTAAAGGAGAATATACTGTCCGGTTTTATAATGAAAAAGGTGTAACGGCTTACCTGAGATCTTCGAAGGGTGGTTTTGTATCCGACGTACCTCCTGTCTTCACAGTCACCGTTCGACATAAAGTATAGAAATATTCACTAATGCTTTATTTTGTAGGGAATCTCGTTCAAGCCTGTTGTTTATTCCGAAACGGTGGCACTATTAACGATTATGTTGATAGCATTTGGAGCTATAATTACGAAAAACAAATTCTAGAGCTATTTTTGATACATTAAGTATTTCACTATACATGTACATTGGTTTTCCCACCAAACAGCCGTTGTATAGTACTTATAAACTTTCATTTATAAATGTTTCTGGATTTCTTGGATTAATTATGGGGTGTAAAGACAACAGCTGAGTAGAGGGTTAGTAGTATTCATGTGGTCATTTATTTATTTTATTTGAACATATAAATATTGGTACACAGGGGAACCGAATACATATGCGCCATACAAGTCACTATTTGTGTGTGTGAGTTGTGGTACTGTCTGGGTGATGATGATAAGCGTTAGCAGTTCCAAAGTATCTTAATGGTGAGCAGAGTAGTATCGCTAGTCTTCAAGCGAAAATCTGCAATTAGGAACCATTTACATAAATTTATATTTGTTAGCGGGGTTGCATCTCTAAGAGAGTGAATATTTTAATAATGTGAATATTCCTGGGCAATATGTAAGAATTAATTTGCCGTTGCCTATCAAGATCCTCTACATTATTTTTTCTCTCCTAATTAGTGCAGTGTAAATAATTTATGGAAAAACAATATCCGAACGAATAAGCAGTCTTGCTATAGCAATGTGCTCAGTTTGTAAAAAGTCCCATCTTCGGCGATCTCGAAGAATATTTCACAAACATTTCGACTAATTGAAGTGTGTTTAACTAGATGGGATGATCAAACCATGATATCCTGTCGGACTATGAAATCCTTAGTACTTGCCTAGAGATGGAAAAATTCCCGTCTAGGTTCCATAAGATAATAAAACTTGTGGTCAGAGATACTTTAGCGATTAACTTCAAATTTAGTGTCCGTGAAATACATACTTTAGATCTTCAACATAGTATTATTTCCTATCCACTTGTTTCTCTATTTCATTAGTTTATTCTCAAATAAACCATGTTTCTAGAGCCATGGTTTGGTGGCTAGATGACTTCTAAACTGCATATCCTAGGCTCGAAACTGGCTGGGTATGCTTTTTGTAGGCGTCGTAGACATGGTTTAGGTTTTCATGTTCATTTTGGATACTTTTATTATCCTCTTAATCTTAATCATTTTACTAGCCTACCTCGTTACTCATTGGTTTCCCCCTATTGATTCCCAATCCTCTAATTGTTGTATTGATACGAGGTGTACAGGGACAAATGCCGTGGTACGGTCGAGAGTGGGAAGAGTCAGCTCTCCCTCTCAAAATGCTCTCACATGGTCACTTGCATACAACCACTGCCAGGGAAGTCGTACTCATTGCCTTCTCGCAACACGGGTGTTGTTTACAAAATCGAGAGGACGAAAAGCGAATGTCTGGCGCTGTAACCCTGTTGGTGGATATGGACGATCCAGATAGGGGAGTTGGAATACCCTGATTCCGATCCAATGGTGCACATGAGCTCCAGGGTCCTGATTGAATAAATAGTGTGTGAACCAATTATTGGTAACCGTCTACCATGTGACTGCATCTCCTGACGTTGCTCAATTGCCTTGTGGATTAGACCTTTAGGTCGAAGCTTCCGGGCATATGCCCCTAAGAAAACCACCTGCTTCGATTCGGGAACCCAGTCAGTACGACAGCTCACACAAATCCAGTGACTTTTGTGGCGCATATGTATTCCGTTCCTACTTGTACCAATTTTCATGTGTTTAAATAATAAAAATAAATACGGGAACACTAGCCAATACGTTATTCTAACATATTTTGTACTACGTTTGTCTGCCAATAACTAAATATACGATAAGGTTTTAGTGTTTTGATCAAATCTAACCTGGTAATATGTCCCATTATTCATCCCTATTTAATTTATTATATAGTTTTACTGATGAAAGAACTAGAATATTTGGTTTTGATTTATCTGATGAATCACACACATTACTGTACTTATCCATTGTTTATATTGAAACGATCTTATGATTCAACATTCCAGTCGGTGATTTTAAAACCTATAAAGTTGTGAATGGAGTAGATAGTTCCAAAGATTTAAGATATCTATCCACAACTATATTTTTTTGTAACATTAAAATATCCGTCTACTAATAGCCTTTAAAGGTCTAGGAAAAGGTGGGGAACATATAATCTACACAAATGGACAAACCAAAATCGCGAATGTCGAGTAACCGTGAAAACGCATAAAATCTTCATATACCGTTGCTTTTTTCGATATTGACGAAATAAATGAAGGCAAAGAAAGATTGATGGAAGAAATCACGTTTGTTATAGGTTTCATTACAGAAGTATCAACAGTAGAAAAAGCTTGTAACTCCTCTGGAGTGTTTAGTTGCTTCTCGTGCTTAAAGACAGATTTAATGTCTTTAAACCTTATCAGATTGAGTGTAAAATAACTCGACAATGACTAAATCTCCCTATTTACTAAAACCCCATTTATTTAAAAGCAATCAGAAGAGGAAGATACATGTGTACATTCAGTCATGGTAAAAATGCTTTTCTTCAAAAGTAACTTATAACTGTTATATCCCGACAAGAATAATGACTTTGGGATCCTTTTATGAACCAATAATGCGCGTATATTTTTATTGTATCATTGTTAAGTAACTAAACTGTTCATATTCATATCCCCCTTATTATGAGCCTTATTTTGATCTATGAACTATTATTCTACACTTTACCATTCTTCAATTATGCCCTGTCTATGAATCACTACCTCCCACATTCACAGCCATATTCCACCAAATCTTGTACAAATGTTGTTTCCTATTTTATGCTATGATGTGGTCTGTTTGATTGGTATATAAACGCCGTATGTTTGAAATAAATGATTCATATCACACAGGCTGAGATTGGTTTTCTGGACTTAATTGGCTGGGTTAGTCAGGAAGCAGGACCGATAAGAACTCTAGGCTGCTCGCACGTGTTTTAAGCGTCACCGGTTCGATCAATAGTTCGCTGCCCTCTGATTGGCGGTATCATTGCGTTATACAATAAACAGGGCACACAGGTTCACAAGTTATAACAATAACTAATATTTCTCAAGTTTTTTTATTATTCTTGTAGATGATAGTGTAGTCGATTCAGTGTAATTCACCTTCTTAATGAGAATAATGAAACTACTCTCTTCCCTATCTGTTTAAAAACGTGAAACTTATAATTCAGAAAAGTATTTCGAAATAATTATGTGGTTACTTATGAGTAGTTAAATGTTTTTTTATGAAAAAGTTCACTTATCAGCATGCTCAATATGGACGTTTGACTTTCAGATGTTGTTAAATTTGCTAAGATCTCATTTTTGGAAGCTGGAAATATATGCCAAATAAATAATCCGATGGAAAAAATCTTCCTATTTCCTAGTAGGCAAACTTATATTGAGTGGAATTTATAACATGAAATTGGTATTAAGGGATAAAACAAATCAATAAATGAATCATAAGATCTTGATGCAGTTTTGTTCTCTGAGCTGGATGGTTTGGTCGTGGAAATTTCATCGTTCTTCTGAACGACATCACCAGCACACCATCTCAGAATCATAGGATCAACTATGAAGTATAAGAAACTAAAAGTCAAAGACATAACGACAAAGTCAAGTATTATAGAGTGATTACTCAAGTGCGTCAATGAAGGTCCCTGTTAAAAAGTATTATCAGTAATAGAATTAGTGTAGTTTATAAACTTTGATTGAGAATATACATATTTTGTTATTTAATAATTGAATTCATGAACCAATTGAAGCTAGACCACCATGTAAAACCTGGTAGCACTGGATGGCCGTTTCGTCCTAGTATTTTATGTTGTTTATTAACAGCGAACTCAAATTATACGTCGTTAACATGACATTAAAAAGCCATCCATTGAATTTTATGTTGAAAGTTAAACATAATGTTGAAAATTTATCTTATGGCAACGTAGAATTGATCAGTCAATGTAACAGTGTTTTTTTTACAACATTGAAAACTATCGGTTAAGTAGTATGTAAATATAATTTTATGTTAACGTTTGATTGAATCACTACTCACATCTCCTGGGATCACTGGGTAAGTAATAGTGAGTTTAGACGCAGGATATTAGAGAATGATGATAAATCAGTTGATGAGGTTGTAAGTCTTCATCGACTAAGATGGTCGGGCCACGTGTTACGTACGCCTGAACACCGATTACCACGACGTGCAATGCCAACTGGTGTTGGGGATGGTTGGAAGAAAGTTAGGCGCGGCCAAACCAAAACGTGGCATCAGTGCTTGAAGTCACTAACTTCTGATCTGAGCCATGTTAGTAGATGCAGACTCCTTGGTTGGGGTCCGTGCGACTATCGTAACCAATGGTTGGAAACTGGGATTCATAGCTCACAATCGATCACACTGGCGTAGGTGTATACACTCTTTGTCTTACCGTGAAGTATAAGATTAAATTTGCTTTATCTTTCTTTCTACGAACTAATTCTTTCTTTTTGTATTATATCCTTATACGCAATCCTTCTTTTATATATTACTACCATTGGAGTAACTACTTCATTCCCATTGCATTGGCAATACTAAGAAACAAGATGCAATTTTTAAATGTTCTCTTCTTTATTACTACATAATTCATACTCAACCGTCTTAAGCAGTCTAATTCATTTCATATTTGTTTGAAAGGAAGGTAATATTTATGACCAACGTTCTGTTGTAGTTTTGTAATAACAAATACAAAAAGTAATATTGTGATGCGTGCTACCTATATTGACTTAATTTGTATGTAACGGGAGTCAGGAATATGATGTCTGGCAGCAGAAGATTTGGAAGATCAAGAAAGGAAGAACGAGAATAGAAAGCAATCAGTATAGAAATGCAAGAACAATCAAGTCCAAGACAATTATTGAACATTTTGCAAATTAGGTATTATAGAATGGTTTTTCTATTTTACCAAAAAACTCTGTAATGTTGTGCTTAATGTAATTCGATTGTCCTCATCTGTGTTCTTCACTACAATACCATTTGGATAATGGGTAATCAGATATAAATATATCTGAATTACTTTTGATAATTAATAACTGGTGTGTGGGATTCGAACTTCAATTACGCTGACTATTACATCCATAAACAATTGTAATAAGCCAAAGAGTTGTATTTAAATTTATGGTTCATATTCCAAAGAATTACAGTACAGTATCTATCGTTCTCCTTGGAAAATATAAATGCTAGATAACTGTATTTTGATGAAGTACTAGGTGAAATAGCCTTATAAAGTTATTACACTTACCTCCTTCTTTGAAGACGATATGGATTTCTTCTGGTACCGTTATGATCAGTTCCACAGAATAAAAGCTTAAGGTACAGTTTCCGACTTCTGTTAAACTGGAAATAACGAACAGTAAAATGTTGCCTGCGCTAGTTCTATCATCATATTATTGAGCGCTTCCAGTAATGGGAACATTAATAGAAATAGCAATCATTACGCACATCAAGACAGTCTTAGTGTACGGAGCTGAAACTTGGAGAACTACCACAACTATCATCAAGAAGCTACAAGTATTTATAAACAATTATCTACGTAAGATACCGAATATCTGCTGGTTGGATGCCATCAGCAACAGCCTACTGCGGGAGAGAACAAACCAACTACTAACTGAGGAGGAAATTAGGAAAAGACGTTGGAAGTAGATAGGACATACATTTCGGATATCACCAAACTGCATCACAAGGCGAGCGCTAACTTGGAACCCTGAGGGGAAACGGGAAAGTGGAGAGCCAAGGAACACACTGCGTCGAGAATCGAAAGTAGACATGAAGAGGATGAATAGCAACTGGAAAGAATTGTGCATGACAGAGTCGGATAAAGAGGGCTGGTGGGTGGCGTATGCTGCTTCACGAGGGGTAACAGGAGTAACTGAGTAAGATAGTAAAATATAAATGAACGATTTGTTAGATCACAGTTCTAAATAATGTAACGAACTTGCACAAGTGCGAAAAGACCGAATTTACCAACGAAAATCAACCTACCACGTGAGTACTTTAGTAGCAGTAATATATAAGCGACAGTAGATAAGTAAAAGAGTCGAATTAATAGTATTAGTTTAATTAATACTATTCGTATTGGTAGCAGTATTAGTAGACGTAGTAGTGTGAATCATGTTAGTAATGTGGTGTGTTCTACCGATATTGACAGACATATGTAGTATGTATCACTAATCGAAAGTGGAATGTCTGGAGGGAGAAGGTTGAGAAAATCGAAGAGAATGAGAACAATGAGTGAGTAGTATGGAAACGAAAGGACAACAAATTCTGAGACAAATGATGGATATTATGCAAATGAAGTGTATACTTTAAGGTTGTAGCGGCAAATAAATCCCCAAAATAAATAGCTCTGGAAGTTTTCGACATTGGGTGCTAACCACGTTAGTTTTAATGAACTCACCTAGCTGAAGGCGCTCGGTTATGCATCTGCACCAGATCACGAGTGGGAACGCTGTGATCAACAACCCCTGCAATCGTCAGGTAGATTAGATCAGACGATCCTCGATATATATCTTCGAACCTCCTCGCTTCTGTCTTTTGATTTCACTTGGTGGGTACGCTTCATATTAGAAGGTGTTATTGGTTAAAGCGTTGTCAAACTCCGAATACCTGTGGTATCTTCAAGGTTACTAGGATATTCTGTAATGTTGTATTAAAATGCATTTAGTTATCATTAGTGTTCTTGTTCACTACACTAACAGTAGTAGTATGTCTTGAAATATTAAAAAGGGTATTTGAAAATATGATGAAACAAATAATTTTATTGATTGAGATCATGAACCGGTTGATGTTAGACCTCCATTGAGGACCTGGAAGCACTGGACGGCTCAGTGGTCTAGTAGGTCAGGGGTTCTCGAGCAAAACGGAAGGCCCTGGATTAGAATCCCGTGAGTGGGGTCGTGGATACACGCTGCTGAATATTCGCACAATAGGGAGAAACGGCCGTACAATGCTTCCAGGTTTCCAATGGTGTTCTAACATCAATCTGTTCATGATCTTAATGAAAAACTTAATAATCTCCACAACTGGTATGTTGATAAAGAATTTTATATTTCACTTTTGAACTCTAGGGTTACATGTGAATTTATATATTGTTAAAGCATCTACGGTGCACAGACTTATGACTTGAAATCTAGTTTAAACACTTTGATCAACTATTTATTTACGTGACTAGATTTGTCAGGACGTTTTACGAATGAAGCTGTTAACTGACCAATGTTCATTTTTAGACAATTATGTATAATGGTGAAGGATTTTTCAATTCGGTATAAATAGTTCCATGAAAGTGAAGAAATTAATAGGTATACATTAAAGTAGTCAAATAAATAAATTATCCTAAGATAAATTACACTGTTAGTATTCTTTGTTATCATAGACATTAAACTAAGATATATATCCTGGAGTTCTAGTGAGAAGCAGTGACGAATGGAGTTCAACCGGGTCAGTTGTGAGACAGGAACTCACTGATGAAAATTGTGAATGTGTCGGTCAATTTCGTGGTTTTAGTTGAAATCATACATTAACATTGTTGGATGCCGACTGGATTAATCGTCTAGTGGTTAAGCGCTCGCGCGTGAGATTGATAAATTCTGGGTTGGAATCTCGCGAGGTGGCAACATGGATGAGCACTGGTGAGAAGTCCCACGATAGGACGAAGCGGCTGTCCAGTGCTTACAGGCTTTTCATGTTGCTCTGGCTTCAATTGATTCATGATCTCAACTATCGAAACATAACTTTTACCATTTAGTTATACATCTAGTTAATTTTTTTTGTCATTTTACTGAACTCCTGTTACAACATAATCTAATTCCTATTTAACCCTTGTTTTATTTTGTTTTAACTGATT